GCCAGCACGGAGACACCTGGTGGCGCCTCGGCCGAGGAAGTGGCACTTTTGTAGACCCGCTCCCGCCCTCGTGCCAACTGCGAACTGGTGGGGTCCGCACGCGTCCTGCAGCCCCTCCTTGGAGACTTCGCACGCCGCTTTCGCCGCCAGCCTGCGAAGGACGCTCCCACACGCCACCGGCCAGAGTTTCCCGCTCATTCTCCGCAGCGCCACCAGCCGGGCCCCCAAGTTGTCCGCTGTGAAGTCACCGGGGAGGGCGCCGAGGAGGAAGGCCACGGCCACCCGGCAGGTCGCCTCCAACGCGACGGGGTCCGCCACTATGATCCCCCAGTATTCGAAGCGGGGGCCGTTGGGCCGGGTTGGGCCAAACCTCCGCGGGGCCTGTTCGATGGCTTTACGCACATTTCTGCGGTCTCGTCATCACGGAGCTGCGCTGCGGTTGCGGTGGCGGCGTCACCTCGGGGTAAAAAACTCTGCAGCTCGTCGTGGGCGCTGTTGTCGGTGACCACCGTGGCAGACCGAGTCGCCCTTGCTTTGGAGACGAAGCCCTCGGCGAGGAAGGTCCCCACATTCTTCGCGGAGTCCTGCCAGCAGCAAGTGCTCGTCGTCCAGCCGTGGCTGCCCTGGCCGCGGCGGTGGCGACCGACTGCCGCCACAAGGTCCCCCAGTCCCGCGCCAGGCGATGTGGATTCGTCGTGTGAGGATCTTGGAGAGCCCTCCGCTGTTCTTGGCGTTCCGTCCCCCGCGGGCCCCGGTAGAAAGTCAGCAGCAGCTTGCTGGCCTTGCTGGCTGCGGCGGCATCCCCAGCCCGCTGCGCGTCGAGGAGGTGATTGCAGTAGCCCCCACCAGCGCACGGCGAGGGAGTGCGCCAGCGACTCTGGGACGGATCCGACGGTCCGAACGTCCCTCCCCAGGTCGTATGATACGCCTTCCTACCAATCCAGGTTGAGGAGCGTCTGCCCCGGGCCCCAGTAGGCGTCGAGACCAGGCGGCCGGGATTCGTCGGCGTCGTCGTCGTCTCGCAGGGCCCTGCTGCGCAGCGTCTGCGCCTGGCCCGTTTTCAGTCGGCGCAGGCGTCCAGCTCGTGGGCTGGCAAGGTGCCCTGCCCGTGTGGGACGCCCTGGCTGGTCACAGGACTGGTGCAGCTCCGCCTGGGCCTCCGGCGACAGGGAACCGCCCCCCTGGACCAGGTCACAGAGACCGAGCCCGCCCTTGGTCTCCCGTGGGCCAGGCTGCGGGCCGTGCGGTGCACCCGCAAGTCGCCTCTGGAGAAAGGCCTGCGGCAGGCACTGGCCAGGCACGCGCAGGAGCGGCGGTGCGGTGACGCCCACTGCCCCTTCGGACTCTGCTGATTGACCCGGGGCCCGCGCCCGAGGCTGCACTGCAGGTGGGCTGGCCTGGGGGAGGCAGAGGGAGCAGAGGCGCCCTGTGGCGGGGCGGCTGCTGCTGCCTGGTGGGCTGGCCCCGCCGGCCCGGCGGGGAAGGCGGGCGTGGTCACGGCCCGAGCCAACAGAACAGCATGTCTGGCGAAGGCCACTCTCGAAGGCAGACTGGAGAAGGCAGCGGGGCCGAGAGCGACCGTGAAGGCGGTGGTGAGCGCCTCGGGGAGCGGTTGGTCGAAATGCACGCCTGAGGCCACCGCGCACATGCACAGGCAGGCTGCCGCTCGCTGCACGGGGCATCCGTGGACCACAGCCCCCCCAACATAGGAAGTGCAGAGAAGTCTGTTCGACGCACGCCGCTGCGAGGACGAGAGCAGGGCAGGATGGACCGTGAAAACAAAGCCGAGAACAGCATACACTGCTTGGGCTAGGCAAAGGCCGCCCAACACAGGGAGGATGTGAAGCGGCCCCATCACGAGCAAAGGCGGCAGGGTGGTGAGCATGGTGTGGACAAGGTCGAGCGCTGAGGACAGCGCAGACGGCGCTGAGGGCCAAGGCGCTTGGGACGAGCCAGCGGGCGTGAAGGTGTTCGTGAAGCCTCCCTGGCCGAAGAAGCACAACAGCGGACGTGGAACAAGAAGAAGAGCTCGGCCGAGGAGACGAGGTGGCCCAGACTACCACGGTCGAGGCTGCGAGTCGTCGGCCTCGTGCCCCCGAGCGCTGTGCGGTTGGTATCGGGGACAGCTGTCGGTTCCGTGGTGGCCGTGGAGGCCCTCTCATCGCACAGCGTGCCACACTCATGCACCTGAGGCTCACGCTGGTTCCCGTCGTGCTGCCCCGCATCGAGGTGTTCGGCTCCGCCGAGCCGCTCAACGCCATGCTGCAGGTTCCAGCCGTGCGGCGCAAAGGCGTGGTGCTCGTCGCACCACTTGTGGCACAAAGGGATCCGAGGCTCGAGCGACTGGACCTGGTTGTGCTGCACGCCAACGGGGTGCCCGACTCCGTCGTGCTGCAGGGGGCCGTGGTGCTGCTCCTCGTTGCACTGCTGGGCCCGCGCGCAGACGTCGGCGTAAAAATGCTGCTCTGTGAGGTACTGTTCATGGTGCCGCTTTTGCTGCCCTCTGTTGTGCTGCTGGCCCCACTCGCGGATGTCCACGAGCTATTGCTGCTTTCAGCTGTGCTGCTCCTCGGTGCGCTGCTGGTCCCACGCGCAGTAGAGCTGCTGATCTCTGTCGTGCTCTTCCTGGTGCCGCTGATGCTGCGCTCTGTTATGCTGTCTGGTCACGCTCGCGGACGGTGACGGAACAGCTGCAGCTTGAAATTGTGTTGTGTCCTGTCGTGCTGCTGGTCCCACACGCCCTCTCTCTCTCTCTCTCTCTCTCTCTCTCTCTAGGGCGACGATATCTATACATATCCACTGCTCCCGGCCAGGCCAATCCTGGGCCCAAGAGCTGCGTATACGCCCTCCTGGCTTGGCCAGGGAGGCATATACACCGCTCCTGGGCCCAGGATGGGCCTGGCCGGGAGCAGTGGATATGCATAGATCTCGTCGCCCAATCTCTCTCGCCCCCTCTCCCTCTCGCTCTCCGTCGCAGCCCCCTGAAGGCCCCGTGGCGCCGGCCTGCTCTGCCCCCCGACCTTTTCTCGGGAGAGGGGGAGCGAGGACGGGCGGGACGCGGGGGGGCACCGAAGGAACGGCATTCCCCAAGGGGCCCAGGGACACACAAATAAATAATGGACACAAATAACAGGAGTCACCATACCTCCTCCTCCTCCCCTTCCGCCTCCTCCTCCTCCTCCTCCTCCTCCTCCTCCTGCCCCCCCCCCTCGTGTTGTCTTTCGTCATCTTCAGGGTCGGCGGCAACGGCCGTAAGGCCTTCGCAATAACAGGGTTCACCATATTTCCCCCCAAACTTTGGGGGATTTCGTCTTCCCCCTCAGTTCCCATGTTTTCCTGTATCCACTCCCGTCGAAGTCCTCCGCGCCGTGAGCGTCCTCCCTCCTCCTCCCTCCCTCCGCGGCCGCGCTCCGCCCGCGTCTGACCCCCTGCCGCCAGACAAGTCGTGTGCCTGCCGCCGCCTGGCCCACCAGAGCGCGCGTGCGGATTCCCTCTGCCGCGCTGCGGCGGAGAAGCTGTGAAGCTGGCCTGGAAATGCCTCCAGGACGGGGCCATCTTGCGCTCGGAATCTCTGTCCGCCTTCCGTTCCGCCCCAGTGTAGCTTGACCCTGGCCGTCATCGTCTTCGACCCTGTGAGATGGAGGACTCGCCGCCCTGGGCTTGTGGTCTTCGCTCATTGGACCGTGCTGTGACGTCATGTGCGGTCGCTTCCCTGGTTCTGAGCATGCCCTTACTCATCGGACTGCCCTTCGCATGACTTGCATGCGCAGCCTCCCGGACTTGAGGCCCCCCTGGCAATTCCTGTACTTGCCCGTCCCTGGTCCGTTGGCCGCCTCAATACTCCTGTCTGCTACGCGCGTAAGCTTGTGCTCTGGTACGCACGCACAAGAATTTCATATCCTTGTCGTGTTCCGCCCGCTACTGGTGTGCCGAGTCTGGCCCCGAGGCGTCCCTCGGCTGCCCCGACCGCGTCTTGGTTCCAAGTCGCTGCGACTAAAAGTAAAGCTGGCCCAGTGGAGGGGGTCGAGATCTCTGGGGAGGGTCCGCGGCGTCAGGGGAAAAATGCGACGTCGGAGGGGCGGGCGATAGATTTAGCGAGACAGAGAGAGAGAGAGAGAAAGGGAGTCGCACAGAGGGAAGGAATGACACAGAGTGGGAGAGATCTAAGAGATCATGCACCCATTGCAAGCAAAACAACTGATATCACACTGCAGCGCAGGTTTGGACGCCTCTTCGAGACATCATGACTAGTTTGCTGGTCAACCCTGATCGATCTCCAGAGGGGCCAGTTTGGGGGGTGGGGGAACAACATCTACCCGAAAATGAATCGCACTCTTCGCGACTGTCCCAGCCAAGAAGAACGAAATGAGTCTCATAAAAATCGCAAGAGCCATACATGTCGAATAGGATGCCCCTCCGCCAGAGAAGCGGATGTACATCTTTGATGTGCTCCCCCAGAAGGTCAGATGAGCACGGAGCAAATTATGTTCATGGCCATCGAGTGCTCTCCCAGATGGTACAATTTCCTGACAGCAAGACCATTCATCCTACAAGGTATGCTCGACCAATTGGTCTGCGATGTGGTTACAGAACTCTCGTCTCAATAGAGATGGACTCCCAATAGCCGTCTCTCATGTCCCTTGACCCTCGTTGTTTCTGTATCTCCCTCTCTCTATCTCTCGTTCCCCCCGCTCTCCCTGTCGCTATGTCTCTCTCTCTCTCTCTCTGTCGCCCTCTCTCTCTCTCTCCCTCTCTTTCTCTCTCTCTCGCTCTCTCTCTCTCTCTCTCTCTCGTTCTCCCTCTGTCTCTCCCTATCTCTCTCTCTCTCGCTCTGTCTCTGTCTCTCTCTCTCTCTCTCTCTTTCTCTATCTCTCTCTCTCTCTCTCTCCTTCTCTGTACATGCACATGTGTATGCCTCCCTCTCATTTCCTCTGCGCCCTCTATCCCTGTCTCTTCTTGCCAGCATGACCTCCGAGAGCAGGCTCAGCTTGAGGAGGCGCTCAGACCTCAGCGCACTGCCCCAGGCTGGAAACGACCGCGCGCCCCCCTGGCTAGCCGCCAGGCCACCCGACTTAATCCATCCAGACATACAGCCCAAACTGTGATCAAAAGTATAGTTCAAGGAACCTGGGCCAATTTCTGCTGTTGGCGTTGGAAGGGCGATCGTGCCCAAGAAACTGGGCCAGCTTCCCGGCAAAGTTGGTCAGGAAACGCTGGCCCAGCTTTTCGTGAGGAGGTTCCTTGAGCAGATCCTCGACTCCAGCCGCTGGGCCTGCCACTTTCCAGTGGGGGAACGCTCCAGAACATCGAGAAGGCATGATGGAACCCGCACGGCCCCCCAACCCCAAAACTGGCAGGGTCTGGGACCTTCGGGTCCTGTCGCAGTGACCTCCTCCTCCTCCTCCTCCCCCTCCTCCTCCTCCTCCTCCTCCTCCTCCTCCTCCTCCTCCTCATCATCATCATCATCATCATCATCATCATCATCATCAGCATCAGCATCAGCATCAGCATCATCGCATCAGCATCATCATCAGCATCAGCATCAGCATCAGCATCAGCATCATCAGCATCAGCATCAGCATCATCATCATCATCATCATCATCATCATCATCATCATCATCATCATCATCATCATCATCATCATCATCATCATCATCATCATCATCATCATCATCATCATCATCATCATCATCATCATCATCATCATCATCATCATCATCATCATCCTGAGCGGAACGGCCGCGCCCCTCTGCGAGGCGCACGTCTTCTTCGCCGCAGAGCCGGCGAGCGCACCGCCAGGCGGCGACATCTCGATCCCTCGAAGGCGAGGCCCTTCCCTGAGATCCTGGCGACGCAGTTTTTTCGAGCCAGACGTGCTCGCTCAATTTCAAGGGTCCTGGGGCCCTGACAGGTGGATCCGGCTCCAAAAAGGGCGCAGAAACATGGGTTCCAGGGCTCCGGTCGTGACTTTTTGCGATGCTGCCATTTTGGGGGCCACGTCGGAACTCAGGGGAAGGCGAGGCCCTTTCTGGCGCGTCCCTGAAGCAGACTCCGCCGAAGCGAAGAGGAGGCTCCATGGGGAGAACCTAAGATCTTGCGGGCTCGCCAGGCTCGCCGATGCTGTGCCGCCCCTGGGATTCCGTAACTCGGCGGCGACATCCGAGCCCTACCCCCACCAGCCGTCGATTCTCCTGAATCGATGGGAGGCGGGGGTGGGGTTCGGATTTCGCCACGCGTTCGACGAATTCCGCACCCTACCCCACCGCCCATCGAGTTGCCTGAATCGCTGATCGGCGAGGGTAGGGTTCGGATTACGCCGCCAAAGGTTGCCGTCTCTTGGGCACGCACCTGTCCCTTCCGCCAGCATCCGCCAGCCTGCCGCCGGCGTCCGCTGGCGGAGCCTCCCTCATGTTACTCACGCCGGCGTCCGCAGGCTTTCCACGGCCTTCCGCCGGGGAGGAGGCGTCAACATCTCGATCCCTCGAAGGCGAGGCCTTGTCTGGAACATTCCAGAAGCAGACTCCGCCGAAGCGACGAGGAAACGCCGAACGTCCCTCTCCGCGGCGTCAGGAGGAAGAGCTGGGTCTGGGAGCCCGTTGCAGCGAGGATCGCGGCCCCACGGAGAGGGTCCAAGATTTCTGCGAGTGCGCCACATTCGCCGAGCGTGCGCCGCCTCAGGAATTTCCGCAGGCGTCGATCTTGTGGTCCCCTGCACTGGGCCGCTGTCCTGAGGGCCTGCCACGCCCAAGACGGAGTGGGAGTCACAGGGCTCGGGCGCCTCCCGTCCGCACAGCTGGAGAACATCTGCCTCCTCCTCCTCCTCCTCCTCCTCCTCCTCCTCCTCCTCCTCCTCCTCCTTCGCACATCCACAGCTGCTGGATTCCTGCCCCCGATTTGGGGGGGGGCAGTGGATGTGGACATTCAGGTGCCTCCGGCAAGTCCCTCCACCGTGCCAGCGCAGCACACTTCTTGGCGACGTTTGAAGCACCGAAGGCTGTACAATGTGACCCCTCTCTTTTGCTTGAGGGGCTCTCATCGGAGGCTGCCTGGGCCGTCTTGGAGCTGTCTTGAGCCCCTGTAGAGCCCTTCTGGGGCCCTCTTGGGCCGTCCTGATGCTGTCTTGGGCCGTGTTGGACCCCTCTCAGCCGTCTGGGGAGTCTCTTGGAGCTACCTTGGGGACCTCTTGAGGTCCTCTTGGGCTATCTTGGGGTACGTGCGATACGGCAACAGCGGCCTGTGGGCATGGACAGCACACCTCCCGTGTGCAGACCGCCTTTCTCGACTGCGCGCCAGAATGACCCTTGGCAAGGGGGCCACGGGCAGGCCAGTTTTGGGGGGCGGGGGCCCTGTGGGGCCGCACCAGGTCACTCCAGCAAAGGGTCCCGGCCTCCAGCCAGAGGCCAGGCTGCAGAAAGCTGATCGGGGCCTCATGGACGCCGTCTTGACGCTCTCACTGGGCCCTGGCTGCTACGGAGGGGTGGGCCGTCCTGGAAAAAAGGAGCTCAGAGCTGGGAAGCTGGGAGCCGGTGGCCAGGGGGCCAGATGGCACAGGCAAGCGATAGCACGAAGGGAAGAACACGCGACTCCGAGCAGCGATATGGCACCCTAAGAAGCTGATTGGCAGCAGCACAAGCAACTGCAAATGGGAGCCGACGAAGCACGCACGGAAGATAGTTGCCAAGAGCCAGGTTCGGCATGAATCGGACCGACGAAAGTCGGCAGCCAAGTCGGAAGAAGTCGAATCGGCGGCAATGAGCAAGCCAGCAAGGCCTCCATTGAGACACCGAAGTTCAAAGCTGCATCCGAAGTCGAACCGAACCGGAATCGGAATCGATCGGAATCCGCAGACCCTTCGGCGTGTGTGAGATGCTGTCGTCGTCTTCGTCGGCGCTGCCAGTCCCGAGAAAATCTAGAAGCGATCAGAAACAAACGTCGCAGCTAAGTCGATCCCCTCTTTTTCCCCCTCCCTGACATCGGCTGCACGCAGGAGTGACCCTGGGTAAGAGTGACCTTTGGTGCGCGGCTTTTGGGGGAGCGCGGGGGTGCCAAACACAAGCGCGCAAGACGATGCTACCACTTCGCGGCCGGCGATCGGGGGACCCCACTAGGCCCGCACCAAAGGTCACTCCGGCGAAAGGTCGCTCTTACGTGTAGTCGATGACAGGGGGCTGGGGGGGTGGGGTGAGAGGGGGGTCGGGAAGGGGGGGGGGGTACGGGGGGGGGGGGGGAGAAGGGGGGGGGCAGAGGGAGGGCGTCCCAGGTCAGACTACCTCCCCCCCCCCGGGCCCGGCGGCCCTCCCTCCCCGCCCCCGGTCCCCCCCCCTGCGGACAGGCAGGAGAGGGGGGAGGCCCGTGCGAGGGGCCGGTCCTGGAGGGGAGTCTGGGGGGGGGGGGGGCTCCTGTCTGTGGGGAATCCTGGGGGGGGGTCCTGGGGGGGGGGTCCTGGATGGGGAGTCCTGGGGGGAGTCCTGGAGGGGAGTCCTGGGGGGAGGTGGTCCCAGGTCGGACTACCGCCCCCGCGGGGTCCAGGCGGGTCCCCGGGGGGATCGCCAACGGGGGTCCCTTGGGTGGTCCCGCCTTCAGCGTCGGCGGCACAGGCTCGAGGGCCTTCACAACAGAATCGGAGCGAGTCGGACGAATCGAGAGGAGCCCTGCCGGGAGCCAGGAAGGAGCGACGAGAGGACCTCCGAACCTCAGCAGCAGGAGCGGATTACAGCTTGCTGCTCTGGGGCTATAGCTGGCATCCGGCGAAGACTGAGGCGCGTGCCAGAGCTCCTCGCGGCTGGCATCTCTCTCGCACTGCTCCCTCCGAAACCCCTCCCGTCATCGCCCCGCTCTCTGCCGTGGTGACGGGCAACGATATGGGTGGACTTAAAGGCTTCCAAAATAGGGTCCGAGTAGATGGGGTCGAAGGATCGCGCAGCATCGCCGATGCTCCGCCGACGCATCGCCCATGCATCCCGATGAATCGGCGATGCATCGGCGACGTCGGCGTGGAGAAAATCGGGCTCCACATCGAGTCGCATCGCCGATGCATCGGAGATGCGGCGCGATCCTCCGGCCCATCTACTCGGACCCCATCTGGGAGGCCTAGAGGACTGGCGCCAGGGGAAAGCATCGGCCTGCAATCGGCGATGCATCCCCGATGGATCGGCGACAGGCCCCCGATAGCAGATCCACACGTTCCTGGGCGGGGCGAAGCTGTCAGACCCCTGTCGGCGATCAGTGGGCGATTGGGGGTCGATGCGTGCCCCGCTGAGCCTATCCCCCTATGTCGATGCCCCTGGTCGGGGGCTCGCGGCTATCACGACCTGCTGGGGGGGGAGGCTCCACGAAGCCTTGCCCTGAAGACCACGAGGCAATGTCGGCACGCGCTGGATCTGAGCTTGCACTTGGGTCGCGGGCCCACGGACGTGACATAGCGGAGACGTCCAAAAAGCGGAGGGGGAAGATGGGGAAGAGAGGAGGCAGGAGGCAGTGGGCAACCTGGGGGAGGGAGCGGGGGGGGAGGGAGGAGGCACGTGACAGAAGGCAGAAGGCACAAGGCGGGAGGGGGGAGGAATCAGAGAGCAGGGATGAGGGACAACGGAAGACGGAGAACGGGGAACGAAGGAGGGAGGAGGGAAGAGTGAAGAGGGAGGAGGGAGGATTGAGGAGGGCAGGGCATGTGAGGAGGAACCATGAAGCAAGGCAGGGGGAGAAGAAAGCAGGCAGGGAGGAGGGAGGAGGATGGAAGGTGGAGGGAATCGAAAGGAGGGAGAAGGGGGAAGGGAGACAGGAGGAGGAGCAGCTAGGAGGCAGGAGACGAAAGGGAGGAGGGAGGGAGAGAGGATGGATGGATGGATGGATGGATGGATGGATGGATGGATGGATGGATGGATGGATGGATGGATGGATGGATGGATGGATGGATGGATGGATGGATGGAGCACGCAGGAACGAGGAATGAAGGAGGGAGGGAGGGAGGAAGGGGAGCTAAGAACAAGAATCGAGAACGGAGAGCCGAGAACAAAGCAGAAGGCAGGAGGGAGCAGGCAGCGGGGAGAAGGGAGTAGACAAGAGGGAGGAGGGGTCAGGGAGCGGGCAGGAGGGAGACAGGACAGAGGGTGGAGCGAGCGAGGAGGGAGGAGGGGGGAGGACAGCGAGAGCGGAGAGGGGGGAGTGGGGAGGAGGCAGGAGGCAGGAGCGACAAGGGGGGGAGGCGAACAGGCGCGGGGTGCTGGGAGGGGGCAGGAGAGCAGGAAGGCAGGAGGGCAGGACGAGCGGACAACGCACGCCCACACTTCCAGGGGGGCTGACCCACGCCTGGCGACTTGAGGCTGTGGTTCGGGCAAGGGTGCGGGCTGTCGGACACCGAGGGGGGGGGCGGGGGGGGGAGACACTCGCGCGGGGGCACCTGATCCGAGAACACGCGACCACGGCCCTTCCAGGAATCCGCCCGGGCCAAGCTGGAGGTCATGTGGGTATGGGTGCTAGTCGTCAGTCCATGGTCCCGGGAAGACGAAGGAGGGAGGACGAAGGGAAGAAGGACGGAATCGCCGTCGTCGTCGGCGTCCTGGGGAAGAGGGAGGAGGGCGACTGTGGCCACGCTGCCCTGCGCATCGCGTTTTGCTTCACTTCTGGACTTTCGTCTTCGATCTGCTGGCATTGGGGTTCGAGCCATTGAGGCGCTACCCTGCCCTGCGCATCGTGACTCGGCTCGAAGACGCGAGGCCTCCCTCCCAAACACTTCTGGACCTACCACCGCCACCGACAAGGAGGCAGTCGCTCGCCGCGGGGGGGGCTCGCAAAAGCCACCCGCGGGGGAAAAACAAAAAAAAAAAAAGACGCCAACGGAGGAGCGAGAGGGAAGCAGAGAGATGGGCTCCCTGAGGAGGAGGAGGGAGCAACGAATCCGGAGGGAGGAAGCCGGAGGAGAGGAGGCAATGGGGGCGCAGGCAGGAGGGAGCACGAGCAGGGAGGTGGGAGGAGGGGTCCGAGCCCTGCGAGCCGTGAGCGGGCGGCACGGCGGCAGGGAAGAAGGAGGGAGAGGGAGGCAGGAGGCAGGGGGGAGGAGGGCAGGGAACGGAACGGGGAGGCGGGAGGCGAAGGAGAAAGGGCGGAGGATAGGGGGGCAGGAGGAGCAAGGGACGGAGGAGCAGAGAGGAGGAAGGAGTGGGGATGGGGGGGAGGGAGGAGGGGGGGGGGAGGGGGGGGGGGAGGAAGGGGGAGGAGCGAGGGGTGAGGGGGGAGGGAGGAGTGAGGCAGCTCCCTGTGTACACCGACAGGCGCCAGGCTGGGTGCGGCTGCAGTGATTCAATGTTGGGGGCGTCGCTGTCTTTAGCGACATGCCCGAAAAGTCAACTGGAAAAGTACACTCGCCTTCAAACGCCTGGACGACCGCCACAGAGCGCCGTCGATGTCACAACAAAGCGGCACGCTCAGCTCGTCTTCGGCAATTTCTTGCTCATGCACTGCATTCGGGCGAAGCGCCCAGGTGGCACATGCACAGCACCGCGTCGCCACCGCTAGCCACACCCATGAATCCGAGGACCTTCCCCCCTGTCTGTTCCCCCCACCCCCGCCCCCATCCACCGCCTCTGGCGGTGCCTGCTCAGTAGTACGCGGCAGTCTTGCGGTAGTTGGCCGCAATGGGGGCCTCGCGGAGCACCTCCCCCGCCACCACCTCGCTGCAGATGATGGTGTGGTCGCTGGCGTCCATGCGCGAGCTCACCCTGCAGGTCAGGAACGCGCAGCCGCCCTTCAGCGCGGAGCCGCCCTCCACCTGGAGGACCTCGATACCCTCGAGGACGTCCGCGCCTGGGGCGAACGACTGCTGGAAGTGCTTCAGCAGCGGCAGGTAGTTGCCCTCCTCAGAGGAACAAGAAAAATAACCAGCAGACGGTCAGAATTATTGGGATGGCGTGTCGCTGCGGCGGCCTCGGCGACACGCTATACCTTGCGAGTAGGTGGCGTGTGGGCTCCGCTCCGCGGGACGGGAAGCTCGGAAACGCTCGGCACGCGAACGCCTCGGGACCACGAAGCGCAGCGTGCCGCACCGAGGCGCGGTGGGCCAGAACCGGCGGAGCGACACGCCATCCAAAAGTTCCCGACCGTAGAAGTGTCGGAGCTCCTCGCGGATTTCTTGGATCGGCGCTGGACCCCTTTCCTGGCGCGAGGAGCGCACCAGGGGGCGGGGCCGGCGGCGCCGCAAGGGGGGTCCAGCGCCGATCCGAGAGATCCGCGTGGAGCTCCGAAAGTTTACGTTTATGCCGTGCGGTTTTGCTTCGAATCCTCGAGCATGTTCACCACGAACGTCTCCCCGACCTGCATCACCGTCTGCAGCGCGTCCTCCTTGGCGACGGCCATGGCCACCGAGGGCGGCTCCGTGCTCGCAGGCATCAGCCAGGTGGCCACGCCGGCACAATTGACCCCAGCCTTGGTGCCGATACCGCCACTTCCCCCGACCTCTCCCCGGGTGCGTTCAGACCAAGGCTTCCATTCGAATCCAGCCGCGGCGATGATGGCCCCTTAGGAGACCTAAGAAGCGCATCGGTGCCAGCATGCTTTCTCCCCTAGAGCCTTGGAGGCCGTGATGATGTAGCGGCCACCACCCATCTTGCCCAGCGCCTTCATGGTCTTCTCGTTGAGTTTGTCCTTCGCCGCCTGCTTTTTCTTCTCCAGCAGCTGCTTGGCCAGCAGCAACCCGTGCTCCTCGTAGATCCGCCACCGTGTTGTCTCGGCACGGCACGGCCGTGTTGGAACGCCCGATGGTTGTCTGGTAGGGCCGTACAGCCCAAGTTGTTCTGTCGTTATTTGGGACGTGGGTTAGCACCAAGCCCAAATAACTCCCGTGTAGCAGCGGGGCCGAACGGGGGCCCGACAACAAGGCGAAGGAGCGAGGGCCGGAGGGGAAGGACACCACGGCGGAGGGACGGCGACCGAGAGAAGAGGCGAGGCCCGAAACCCGCAGGGGCCGCCGAGCACCCTGGGATGAGAAGCGAAGCCGCTTGTGTCGGGAGGCGCCGGCTGACCACCTCACCGGTCCTGCTAGGGCCGATGCCGCTCCCAGGATCGGCGCTGCCGGGATCGGCGAGGTGGTCCTCGGCGGCGCCCGAGCGCACGAGGGGCGCCAGCGAAAGATCCACCCAGCCATCCCCAGCACGGCCGAATGGCTCCCAAAAAAGAGGGCGGAAAACCACCCTCATGATTCGCCGGCCCGACGGGCCAGAGGCGTGCCAAAATCTCCAGGCAGAATTTAAGAATGTTCCCAGTTCGCGGGCGCGTGGCGGCCCCTGGGGGTCCGCGGGCGACAGCTTGCCCAGCAAGGTCCCCGCAAGGTCCCAGCAGGGTCGGGTCAGAGATGCCGGAACTCCAAGGCGCGGCCTCGGGGCTCCCCGGAGCTCCCCAATGAGGCGCCAAAGTGGTGGGACGCCCCACGGCCTCAGGCCAAGAGCGTTCCAAGATGGCCCACGTTGGTCCCAAGACGGCCCAAGAAGCGCCAAAGACGCTCCAGGAGGGTCCCAAGAGAGGACTTCGAGAGGACCCTGGGACGCAAAAGTAATTGATGTTGCTTGGGTTTTCGGACGAGTTTGGCGGTACTGCCTTTTCGAACTACCGACCGCCCTGGACGGCCCAAGAGGCCCCAAGATCGTTTCAAAGGGTACCCAAAGCTTCCAAGATGGCCCCCGAATTGCCCAAGATAACCCTAAGACTGCCCGAGAGGCCTCCACGACGGCCCCAGGATGGCCCCAAAAGGGGGCCCAGAGGGGGAACCCAAACAGACATTTCGAGCTCTCGGCCCCAAGAGGCGCCCAGAAGCCCTCAGAGACTCCCAAGAGCCCCCCCAAGAGGCCACAAGAGGCCCCGAATGAAGCCCCTAACACTCCCAACAGGCCCCCAAGATGCCCCAACAGGCACCCACGAAGCCCCCAAAGAGCCCCCCAAGAAGCCCCCAAGAAGCTCCCAGAGGCTTCAAAGCTGCTCCCTGGAGGCTCCCGAGAGCCCTCCGAAGAGACCCCAAGAAGCATCCATCAGGACTCTGATCCACAATCCAAGTATGTTTCGAAGCTCTGATGGAACTCTCTTGAGCCATCGTGGCGCCCTTTGGGGCAGTCTATCGGCTCTCTTCGGCAGGGTGCGAGCCATATCTCCAGAGATCTCCTCCAAGACTGTCCTGCCTGCCCCACCATTCCCCATGTGTACGAGCACGCCACCATGCAGCCACCATGATGCGAAATGGGCCGGCGGAATTAGCGAAGCGATTAAGTAAGCACCCCGACCAGCGAAGCCTTGAGCAAACGCACCCAGGAAAGGGATCGGACAGGGCAGGGCCGTTGGAGAAACGCCCAATGCCGTTTCGTAAACGCCGATTGTGGGGGTCGAGAAAAAAGCCCCAAGACAGCCGCAAGACGCACCCCTCCCACCCAAGACGGCCCAAGACCTCCCCGAGAGGGCCCCAACGCGGCCCCAAGACCCGCCAAGGCGCCCCCACAGTGGTTCCGCCGGGCACCTTCGCGAGAGAGCTCGGCAGAACCGCGGCACCAAGGGCGGCCCCCGAGACCCCGGCGGGACCCCAACAAGCATCCAATAGGGCCCGAGGAAGTTATCACGGAGCTTCAGAATTACGGATTTCGGAAGCCCTGAACACAAAAACGCGTTCGTCTCTCAGGGGCGAATATGTTACTTCCTTGTACCAACGCTACACCCTCTAAGTATCACTCTGGATGTCTTGCGGCGGGCCCAATCAAAAACTACCGAAACCTCGGCGTAACATAATTCATTCGAAAGCGAATTTGCCGGGGCCTGAAGGGAGCGCAGAGGCAGGGAAGGCAGGAAGCGTCGGCCCACCGCCCGCGAGGTCCTGCCCCCGGGCACCCCCTCCTCTAAGGGGATGGCACTTCGAGAGCGGCCGCTGCAGGACCCTCTAGTCCCGGGGCAGGCCCTCGACCCAAAAACGACCTAGCTTCCTCATTCTCACGCGAGGCCCAAGACTACATGGACCCACAACCGATCCAGGGGCCTAAAAAGTTTCAGATCTGAAAAGCCGATCTATCCCACGGGGTTCTGGAGACCTCAGCAGAACCGCTCACTTCTCCTTGGGCCGCTTGGAATCCTTCTTGCCGCCGCCGCCGCTGCCGCCGCCCTTGAACACCACCCTCTCGAGCTCCTTCGCGGCCTTGCTCCTCGGGGCGGAGTCGTCCTCGAGCACCGCGCTCACCGACTGCAGGCCTCCGTTCCCCTTCAGGCAGCACATGGCCTGCACGAGTGGGGGTTGCGACGTAGCAGCGAATATCCACTTGGGTTATTCCACTGTCTTGCCGTCGACGTCTGTCTTCGTCTGAACGTCGAAGCAGCGGGTCGTTTCGAGCTTCACTTCCCTGCCGTTCAAAATCTTGCCGAATTCGACCACAAGGCGCAGCGCCTCTTTCGACACGACTGGGCGTGGCCCTTGGGCCACTGCTGCGCGAGCGCCCTCGAACCTGCCCTGGATCGCCTCGCTCAGGCGGAACAGCAACATTCGGATGTACGCGTCGGGCTTCTCCACGCGTGGATGGCAGCGATACTCGCTGGGCTCGACCGCGGCGCGCGCCCCCTTCCCGACCTCCTGGTTGTTCTGAATGCCCGCCGCGAGCGCCAGCTGCATCTGGGAGCCCGTCTTCAGCTTCGCCACCACGTTCTGGCCGCGCGCCGAGCCCCCGAAGTTGTCCTCGTGCTGGAGCAGCAACTTCGCCATGAGCGTGTCCTTCTTCGAAATGCCAGACGGCTCCGCTTCCTCGGGTTCGGCTCCGCCCTCGCCGACCTCGGCCTTGGCCGCGACACTCTTCTTGATGATGCCCGCCGCAGGGCCGAACATCCGGAGGGGGTGCCGAGGGGGGCGGCGGCGGCGGCGGCACCGCACGTGGCCCTGGAGCGCGCTGAGAGCCACCGCGCCGACGGCAGCGGCGCTGGGCATGGCGAAGGAGGACATCCTTGCGAGAAAACGTAGCACTGCAGAAGGGGCATCTCTTAGCTCCCATGTCGTCTTCGGGGGTATCCAAATGATTAGCAACAACACCATGGACCGCGAACCTGCGATTCTCTAACCCTTTCTGGCCATGACAGATTTTCCACCGTCTGGGCAGACGAGGCGATGCGCTTCACGTCTCCAGCTTCGCGGAATTGGTCGCTCTCAGCTTCGCGCGAGAGGGCGGCCCTGAGCTCTGCATTTGAGAGCATGTCCAGCCACTCCAGCCAATCTCGCGAAACACTCGGCGAATCATCTGGAGCGCGCAACTGGCTCCCCGCAGGAAGACAGGCCCGCGGCGCACGAAGATCTGCGAGAAGCTGGCCCAATCGACAATGATGACTTCGACTGTGGGGGCCCTCGAACGATAGTCTGCCGAATATTGCAGCACGCACAGCCTCGGCGGGGCCATGCTCTGGAGGTTCTGGTCGGAGCCAAGGAGCAACCGCATGTCGCCCACGATAAACTAGTGTAGAACTCACGCTATAGACTTTGGCACGACGTCAAATATCTGCATTAGAGACATGGTGAAGGTGAGCGGGGAAACGAAGAATATGTCGAAGTTTCTTGGTTTGCCAGCGTTCGAGCGTCATCGAATCCGCGTTCGCGAGGAAAGCCACTCATAGTGCATATAGGGCGATTAACCGTACTAGCGAATTCCACAAGCGCTCCTTTAAACGCACGCTGAGGTTCCCCTCCAGCACCTTCTGGGACAGCCGGCCGCGGGCTTGGTCGGCGGAAGTCAAGCGGGCCTTGACCTCAGCCGAGCACGAGCCCGTCGCCGAGAGCAGACTGATGAGCGGGCAACACGCACCCATACCCATAAGGAAGCCCGAGCGAGGAGGACGGACGAGAGGTGAACCGATGAATGAAGCACAAGAGCGGTCTGGAAGGATTGCGCACTCGGGGATTGCAGGAAGACGAAGGGCGGAGAAGGCGACGGGGGAGAGTTAGGGACAGGCGAAGTGAAAAGAAGATCCGAAGGCGGGCGATCGGGCAAGGGGGATCGGGGAGCAGAGAGGGACAGCGGGATACCTAGAGAGGGTGGGAGGGACAGGAAGACCGTTTTGCGCGCAATCGGAAGGTTGGTTGCCCGCCTCTTTCCGCCCCCCCTCTCCCCCCCGCGCCACTCCCCGCCGACCTGGCGAGCGGGGGCGTCGCAGCGGGGGGCAGGGGCCAGCCACCGCAAGTAGCAAATCGCGGGGCCCCGATTTGCAAATTTTGGGGTTGGTTGGAATTTCTCGGGGCCTATGGGCGCGCGTTGTCGGACGGGGCCCCCGCTCGAGAAAAAGCACGCCTCGGCGTCCGACAACGCGCACCCATGCCCATAGGACATCCTCAAATCCGGAGTCGCGAATCAGCAAATTCCGAAGTCGCCCTCCAGCCCACCGCCGACCCCCTCCGGCTCGCTGGGTCGGCGCGGGCGCGCCACGAGTTGAGGAAGGGTGGCGTGGAGAAGGAGGCGGCCCGCCATCCGACCATGCGCCAGACCCCGCCCCATGTCCTTTTCTATTCCGCCCCTCGCCATCCCGCTGCCGCCCTCCTGGCTTCCCAGCTCGCCCCGCGCGAGCGCCCCCCTTCGCATCATCTTTTCACTTCACCCTGTCCCTGATTCTCTCCTGTCGTCTTCCTGGCCCTCCGTCTTCCACGCATCCCCGACTGCATCATCCTTCCGCTCCCCGTTCGTTCTCCTGTTTCCTCTTTGCCCCTCCCTTGCCCTCCTCCATCGGGACCCCCCCATGGGCATGGGCGTGTGTTGTTCGTTCATGACAGACAGCCAAGGCACTTTACAGTCGGCGTCGGGTGGATCGCACGAGCCCGGCCGTCGGCGCGGGCCAAGCTAACGCCAGTCTACATAGCACCGGTTATCTTCCTTACCCTCCGGCACCCCTGCCCCACAACACGCACCATCAGCTCGGTTTTCGGGGCATTCATGGTTAAGCCGCTGGCATTAACGTTGGTCCTAGGAAACTCTAGGACCTCGGAGACGGCCGCTAAGTCGACGACCACCGCCAACGCGATGACATCATCTAAGAACTTGACCTGGGACGCATCTAACGACCTCAACTCGATAGCCATGAGACCAACCGGATTCCTGAAGACCTGGAACTGGGGGTCGCCCTGCACCCGGGCGCCCTGGAAACCCTCCTCCAACGCCTTGGGGCCTATGTCCTCAGCGATGAGGTCGTAAATAGCGATGAATAGCCCTGGGCCCTCTACACTGGCTTGCCGTACACCTTTGCGAATCATAAACTGCCTACAGGGCCTGTCAGTTCGGGCATCTCGGAAGATATAGCAGGCCCCATTGCATAGCTCTTCTGCAACCAGACGGGCGCCACGGGAGAGCGCCAGCTTATCTGGGGCTTCCCAAACTTGACCTCGAGTCAGGAGGGAAGGCCTTCTCAAGGTCGATCAACGCTGCAATCAGGATGCGACAGTCGGTCTTGGCGCGACAAAGGTTGCCCCGCAAGCGACGGCCGATCTCGTCGACAAGGGTGACGGCGTCTCGCGTCGATCGACCTTGAAGGGCCCCAAACTGAGCAGCAGAGAGCCGGCCTGACATTGCGCGCAGCTCAGGCATGATGACCATGCTGGCGAAAGATTTGCCGACGTGGCCAATAAGATTGATCGTACTGTAATGATCCTCGGCATTCTTCCCATCCCCTCTAGGTATTCCCAGTGAAACCCTCCTCCCATTTTTTAACCCCTGTGAAACGCGGCGGAAAGCTTGGGCGGCCTGAAAGACTCCAAGAAGAGGGCCCCCTACAAGATCACCCCCTAATTTCCAGGGCTCAACAACAGCACCTTCGGGATCCTGTCGAGGCCCATTGGAGATCGATGGGGTCCGTCCACTTCAGCGCGGGGGTGCTCTTGAAGTTGGGTGGCCTGATGAGGGCCATAGTGATATAATTCACGGCGCACTGGCCTACGAGTTCCACGTCGGGCCCCTCGGGGATATCTCGGGGGCCTCTATCCTCGCGCGTGGGCAGCTCAGCGGCCTCAAAGATGGCACAGAGGGCATCGGTGCGGACCTGTTAGTCCTCGTCATCGTCGAAGCACGGGCGACCCACGGCTGGGTTGCGGACGGTCAGCATGGGCACGCGGGGCTTAGGCGCGAGGCGCTCGACTACCATGTAGCAGCGTCGGATATCATGCACTGCATCGGCCCGCTCAGCATCGGCAACCATGGCCGCAATGTGCCGTCGCTCCTCCGATCGCACTGCCTGATTTACCCGCTTTGCCGCCAGCCGAAACTGCGATAATATAGATGTGTATAACCACGAGCTGTGGTCGACGATGTTAGGTAGCATTATCTGGAAGTACTGGTTGCGTTTGATCAAATCCAAGGTAGCGTCAGTGAGGTTCTTCTGTGGGGTCAACTTTGCGTCAACAACTGCTCCCTCCACTGAATTGCAATAGCTGGATGTCGAGGTATAGCGTTGGTTGATGCCACACTCCTGCTGCCAGTGTCCTTGAATAGCACGGGCTTGTAGTTCACGACGGAGCCCACTGCGAAAATATTGTACCCGCGCTGGCAGGACGTCGGGATGCTGAACAACTTTGAGGTCTTGGAGCAGAAGGTCGCGGATCAATCTAACAGGTGTGCCATGCCGAAGCCGCTGAAATCGAAATCTTACTGATATAGTTGAATGGGCCCTGGGGAACACAAATAAATACACACACGTAAAAAAGAGGTGCCCCTGTATTTTCCCATAGTTTCTGGGAGGTTGTCTCCCCCCCCCACACTTCCGATAGTTTCCCATGGCTTCTGGGGAATCGACGATTAATTGTGTCTGTTTGTTTTTTCCCTCCTGAATAGTGGCCTCAATGGGGCGGCGGTATTGGAATCCTCCCATGCTAACGGGCAGAGGATGTAAAATTCGAGCTCCATGTCCGTGACCTCCTTGCAGTCTGGTGCATATGTAGTCAATATGGTTCCGTGTCGCGCCAGCAGTGTGCAGCCAAGTTCCCAAGTTCTTCTTTCGACTGCCATGAGCGTTCAACGCTGTCCATCCGTTATTCTGAAGAATGGAAAGGAAGTGGCCGCCATTTAAATTTGTGGATCTCGGGTGTCTGGCAACGCCCGCATTGCCAACGTTAGGAAGCTCAGGCGCCACAGTGCCATTAGCATCTAAGCACCAAATCGATGATGATCTCTGGGGCACTCTCCGTATAATGTCGTCACAGGTCTGCCAAACAAGGGCCACCGCTTGTCTGTGTTCAGCTTGCACTCGGTCTCTGTCAGCTGCCGTCACATGAGTGCTCGCTGTGATGGTCGGCGCGCAGCCGTTCAAAATGTAGAAGTATCGCTCGCAAGCTCCTGCTCGTCGAACACGTATTCCTAGGAGCCTGCCTGGTGGCCATTCGTGGACGCATCGGACCTCCAGCGGGTCGCAAACATTGTAGATTAGGCGCCGCCAAGCAGCCGTCCGTAGCACGTGTCAATGTCCTCGGGGTTGGGGAAATGCGAAGGCCCGCGCTGGTCCAAAACATGGTGGCTCCCATGAGGGCGCTTTGGAAGCATCCTAGAGCGATCTGCTGCTCACTGTCGTGTCTTAAGAATTTTCTCAAGCGGTCGATGCACATCAGTGATTGTGTGTTGTCGCTCCATGCCTTCATGATGTGGGTTGGTCTCGGTCTTCGTGGTCTGGGTCTGGGTGGTCGCGGCGAGCTCGAGGAAACGTCGGTGACCATTGGGGGGGACGTCACATCATGCTTAGAATAGTCGGCAACCATGGGGCATGTCAGCAACTGGCCTCGATACCAACTGCAGCCTGCCACCATCGCGAGCCTCGCCGCACATCTCCAGGCCCGTTTGCCACCCATGAACCCTGATTCCAGCCTACACTTGTCGTCGTGGGACGCTTGCACGCAGTCCTCGGAGGTCGGGCGGCCTCCGAACGCTCACCTCGCTGGCTTCGAAACGAAATCCGGCGCCCCGCTGTGCCACGGGCATCGCTCATGGCAGGACTGGCGGGGGGCGCGCGCGGGTCGCAGCCAGGGGGGGACTTGCGACCTCCCTCCCTGTCGGAGGCAAACGGATCCTTTGAGCCGCCGAGGCTTTATTTTACTTCCGCCGCCTTCCGCCAGCCTTCCGCCGGCTTCCGCCGGCGGAGGCGGCCTCGATTTACTTCCGCCGACCTTCCGCCGCCCTTCCACCGCCTTCCGCCGAGGAAGAGATGGTAATTCCTTCGATCCTCAAAGGTGAGTTATTGGAACGCCTCACATGCCTTCGGAGGGAGGAGGGGTGAGGCGGACGAGAAGGAGCAGGGGAAGGACAGGAGAGGAAGGAGGAGAGCGAGGTTTCACACGACCAGCGCCGTTTCGGACAGAGTGCTGGGCTGGAGCGGGCATTCAGCGCAACCTCCTCCCTTCGGTGATGCTTGCCCTGACACGGGGGCGGAGCTTGCCGCAGGCGGCTGGACGACGAGGTGCTTCTCCGGCGAGCCGTCGAGCAGGCGGAGGGCGGGCATCGCCTCTGGGATGCCCACCTGGACGAAGCGCGAGACGATGGAGTCGACGGGGTCCTCGTTCTCGCCGAAGCTCGCGCTGACGAGGAACCTGTGGCTCTTCCCGTTGCAGCTCGCCACGACGCTGCTGAGGTTGTCCTCCGCGGTGCCGGCCATCGGGGGCGCGAAGACCACGATGACCTTTCTGCGGCAACTCACGAAAGCCTCCCCTGTCGTCTTGCTGGCAGTTGCGAATCGACGCTAACCAACACAGATTCGAATCGGCGCTGAATCGACTCTCATCGACGCGGAATCGGCGCTGGTCGATGCTAAATCGGCGCTGTCTCATCGATTACCAGACGCCGGCGCACGCGAGTGCACCCTCAAGGTTTGGTCGGGCATGTCCTCCTGCGAGCAGGTTTTGGAATGAAACTGAAAATTGCAACGTTACACATACTTTAAAACAACTGCTTAACAACAAAAAACAACAAAACAACCAACGAAAACAAAAAACGGGTGGAAAAAGTCAACTGAGTATGTTTACTATTCTGGAATACTCCTCCTGCAGAGGGACCTGCCCGACTCAATCTCAAGGCGACGTTGCGAAGAAATGCAGGGCTCCCCCGAGCTGGTGCTTACCGAGTGACCTGGTTGCGACCGCACGCCTCCACGACCTCGAAGGCGTCGATGGCGTTGAGGTCGTGCATCTCCACCAGCACGTCGTTGGAGGTGAGGCCGAAGGCGAGTGCCTGTTGGCGACGCGCACGGAGGGGGGAAGGTGTCTTGGAAGGAGGCTACTTCTCAGAAGGCGCCGGCCTTACATCTGCAGATGCGGCCTGCGCCCTGTATGAATCATCCTCCTTCCGAGAAGCCTTCCCCCCCCTCCGCCCCCCTCAGCGCGCGGCCGAGCCTGCGAGAGCCGCTCGGACTCCCCGTGGCGGCTGACCCAGAAGATGCACACGGCGGGGCCGAGCACCTTCAGGGCGTCCTCCGACCAGGTCTGGTCCGCCACCGTGCCGCGAGGCACGGACTGAATGAAGTGTCCTCACGCCCTCTGGCGTCTTCAGTCCTCAGTTCTCACGCTGTAAGGGGCCTGGGCCCCAGGCTCCGAAATCTCCCAGGGCTCGCGTCGTGCCTCCCGGGCCTCGGCGCGTCTACTCGCGCGACTCCTTCGGGCCCGGGAGGGCCCCGAAACAGGCCACACGAGGGCCCCGAAGAGGCCTCCGACCGACCACCCCCAGGCACGGAGGAGGGACGGGCCGAAGGCCAGCAGCATACATGTTCAGCCACTCGTCCTTGTGGTGGGTGAGGATCGGCCCGTGGCCGGTGCAGACGGCGCTGACGGGGCCAGCGAGCTTCCGGAGCTTCTTCATCGCCGTGGTCGCGCTCTTCGCGTTCGGTTTCATGAGGCAGTTGTAGTACAGCTGGAAGTGCGGCTTCAGCTCCTCCACGCCCTCCACGTCCGTAATCTCTTTGCTGCAGTAGTGCATTCCAAAGATGTCGCAGGTGTAGAGCAGCTCGGTCTTGCGGTCGTAGGTGCAGATGGTGTCCGGCCAGTGCAGGTTGGGGGTCAGCAGGAACTCGAGCTCGTGGCCGCCGCCCAGGTCAATGGTGTCGCCGTCCTTTACCAGCTTGCTCTTGAAGTCCATGTGGATGAGATTCTGGAGGAAGGTGATGCAAACTTTTGAGCCCACGACCGTGATCTTGTTGTTGCCCTTCTCCGCCGCCTTCTTCAGGATGTTCTCGATCAGGCCAGTGGTCCGGCTCGGTGTGAGACACCACAAGGTAATCCAAAGTGGCCAGGTCGATATCGCCCCCAGCTGGCGACTCCAGCGAGTCCATGAACAGGGACTCGAACTTCTTGTGGGAAGCATCAATCAAGGCCGTCGCCGTCTCGCCCTTGATCGTGTACGCATTGTACGTGGTGCCGTGAGTGAGCGCGAACTCGATGTCGAAGCGGTCCCGCTCCCAGTCGTGCGAGCGGATCGTGCGCGTGTTCTCGGCGACCTCCTGTCAGCGAATTACACGCAAAAGCGACCCTGGGCAAGAGTGACCCCTGGTGCGCGGCTCTACGGGGCCACGGGGAGACCCCATCCAAGCGCGCAGACGCACGTGTCGGGGGACCCCTTGTGCGCCCGCGCCACGCGTCCCTACGGCGAAGGGCCGCTCTGACGCGTAGCCGATCCTGGCTGAAGACGGAGAGCTCGTAGTCCTTCCCCGGCGTCAGCCCAGACCAGGACACGGACCTGCTGGTCGTTCCCTCGCCCACGAGAGCCAGCGCGCGGCGCCCCGTCAATGCCCGGCGGTTCGCCCGGCGGGCGCGCCCGCGCAGGGCCGAGGCCGCCGCCGCTGCTGCGGCCACGCCCGCTGCCGCGTGCGGCCGCAGGCTGCTGGCCGCCCTCGCGGGCAGGTGTGGTGCGCGCGGTGCGGCCGCTGTTGCCTGCGGCGGCTGCGTCGACACGCTGGGGGGCGCGCCAGGGGCGAGCGCGAAGGCAGTGTCGGCCATCGCGCAAGAAGACGGCCCCCGGGTCTTCCTCTCCAGGTCTCAGCACCAGAGGCGTGCGTGGGACGCGGCGGTTGAAGCAAATCGTAGAACGCCTGCGGAAGGAGGGGGCCTCCAACGTCCTTGCTCCCATGTTTCATATTCCCTTCTCATCCTCCTACTGGTCAGCATCAGCCTGCTCCTCCATCCTCCTTTTTCCTTATGGATATCCACCATGTTCTTCCTTATAAATAAACGCCTCCCTGCCGCAACCCCAGACGTCTCGGCAAGGCGGGCCGGGCGTTTCGCTTTAGATTGCCTCACCACTCACGACTCTGAAGATTGAAATTTGCAACAGCGTCACGGATGGAGGGCGGGTCGTTTTCGAAATGTGGCTCTCGCTTTCGCGCCGCGCACATTCGTCTTAAAAACTCGCAACCAGCTCACGGATGGAACGAGGACCGTTTTCGAAATGTAGCAATCGCCTTAGTGCCGCTCACATACGTCTGAAAGTTTGCCGCAATCCCACGGATGGAGGGTGGGTCTGCTTCAGAAAGAGACTCTCGCCTCAGCTCCGCGCACAGTCGTGTTAAAGTTCGCAACCGTTTCACGTGGGAGGCCAGGCCGTTTCATGATGTGGTTATCGCCTTGGCGCCGCGCACATTCGTCTTAAAATGTTGCAGCAATTTCAAAGACTCGTACGATTGAAATCCCAGGACAGGTGTTCCGCTCACGGTTTAAGGTTGTCAAGACGCAACAGACACACTGATTCGCTGTATGACCGATGAGTTATGTTCTGGCACGATGTAAAATTGTCAGGACACAACGGTCAACTTGATTCACGACACTGCAATCCCAGGAATCGCGCTTTGGCGTGACTGACGAGTTTCAGGCGATTGTCTTCCCATGGGGCATTTGCCGCAATGAAAACAACTTCTTGCAGGGACATGTGAGAAATTGAAGGGAGGATTTACTGCAATATCGTCAGCTGATGCATCATGGGTATTATCTGATCCTCCTTCTCCATCCCGTTGCCTTATGGATAACTCTCCCTGTCGCACCCCCAGGCGTCTCGGCAATGCGGGCCGGGCGTTTCGACTCAGAGTTCCTCGCCACTTATGACTCTGACGTTTACGATTTGCCACAGCCTCAAGGATGGGGGGTGGGTCGTTTTCAACATGTGGCTCTCGCCTCAAGACCACGAGCACTCGTCTTAAAAGTTTACAACAGTTCCAAGGACGGATAGCGGTATGTTTTCATAATGTGGTTATCCCTCCCTCTCTTTCTCTCTCTCTCTCTCTCTCTCTCTCTCGCTCTTATATATATATATATATATATATATATCTTCATGGTCGCGCACATGCGTCTTGAAAGCTGGCAGCAGTTTCAAGGATTCGTATGGATGACGTCGAAGGTACGGTGTTATGACACGATCCTCGACTGTCAGAGCACAACAGGCAAAGTGATTTGCTGTGCTGGAGTCCCATGAATTGTGGTCTGGCACGATTCAGGACAGTCACGTTGATTCGCGGCGTTGAAGTCCCAGGGATTGCGTTTTGGCACGATCGAAGATTCTTAACTGTCTGCCTTCGTATGGGGCACTTCCCGCAATCCCAATAAATTCGTGCGAAAACCTATGAAGGGGCAGCTTGGAGGCATTGTTTACACCAACATCGCTGCTTCGTCTTGGGTTCACACTGGTCCTTCTCATCCTCCTCCCATTCCCCCTCGTCCTCCTCCTCCTGCTGCTCCTCCTCCTCCTATCCCTGCGCCTTCCCCAACGAAGGGGGTGCGCGAGGCAGCGGCCGAGGCATCAGACGAGAGGCGATGCAACCAGGCCGTCGGGCATGAGGTATCGGGTTGGGTCGCGTCGCCCAACCCTAGCATCCCCCTTCAGCATGCGATAGTCCTCCTCCCTCGCCTCCTCCTCCTTCTCCCTCTACTCCTAGCATCATCATCGCCACCACCACCGCCACTATCATCATCATCATCATCATCATCATCATCATCATCATCATCAGCATCATCATCATCATCATCATCATCATCATCATCATCATCATCATCATCATCATCATCATCATCATCATCATCATCATCATCATCATCATCATCATCATCATCATCATCATCATCATCATCATCATCATCATCATCATCATCATCATCATCATCATCATCATCATCATCATCATCATCATCATCATCATCATCATCATCATAATCATCATCACCATCATCATCATCATCAGCATCATCATCATCAGCAGCATATCAGCATCATCATCATCAGCAGCATCACCATCATCATCATCACCATCATCATCATCATCATCATCATCATCATCGTCGTCATCATCATCAGCATCATCCTCATCAGCAGCAGCATCATCAGCATCATCATCATCATCGTCATCATGATCATCATCATCCGTAGCCATGTTTGCTCAAGATGATGCGATCAGGGCAGATGTCTGGTCCCATGTGGCTGGCTCTAGCCGTCGCGTCACCATTTTTCCAGCGAGGCCTTCGCGGCCACAGTTCTTTCATAACCATAACGTTTCCGACACCCGGCCAGCCCAAAGCCTGGGATTGTCCCAAATGCGGAGCCAAGAAAAACTGGGGCTCCAGGCGCGTTTGTCGCAACTGCGGATTTGATTGGTGGGAGCAAGGATCGGGGGCAAGCTCGTGGTGGAGTGGCATGCCACATCGGGACGCCAAGGAACGCCACGAGCTCAACCAGTTGCGGCGCAAGGTCAAAAAGCTCGAATGAGATTCTCGTGCAGCTTCAGGGGGTGATGCAGGCGCAGCAGCAGCAGCCCATTCCTCCCCGAAGGACGAGAGAGCACGGCGACTTGGGAAGCTTCGGAGCGACATCACAAAGCTCGGAGGAGTGGAAGGCGCAGCCAAGATACTGGCTGGCAAGCGGCAGGAGACACAGCAGCTGGAACACGAGCTCTCCGACGAGAAGCCCACGTCCGTTCAGCTCAGCGAGCTCGAGCGCAAGCAGTGGAACCAGCAGAGCACCTCGGAGGCGCTTACCAGGAAAATCGCGGACACCGCGCAGGAGATCACGGGCCTCGAGGCGCAAAAGCTCGAGCTGGAGGGCAAGCACGAGCAGAGCAAGGCAGCGGAGAAGGAGCTCCAGGCGCTCATCGACAACCCCTTGGCGAAGCACAAACGCGAGCGCGAGGGCCACTCGGAGGAGGAGCGGCAGGGGTGGGCGCCACAGCAGCAGCGCCACGGTCCCCAGCAGTCTTGCTCAGCGAGGGCGAACGCGCCGCAGCTTTCTTGGAAGCTTTAGACCAGGCCTCAGCTTCGTCGGCCGGCGCACAGCGTCGCAGCAGCTGGCGCAGCAACAGAACGCGACAGCGGCGACGAGGAGCTCGAGGATGCCGACCTCGGCAACATCCTGGAAAGCAAGGAGGAGGAGGTCGAGGTCCCCGCGGAGGAGGGCAGCGCGGCGGCAGGTGCTGGCAGCGGCGACGAAGGGGCTCGACGCGGTGACCCCGCAGCCCAGGCCGCCCAAAGGCGCAGACTTCGCGCGCAGAAGCTCCTCCAGAGCCTCCGCTCTGCGGGCTCAAGCGGAGGGGGGAAGCGTGGGTAGCAAGCCCACATTCACGGCGGTCAGCCTCAACGGCAGCGGTCGGGGCCCCTTTCACGACCATCCTTGGCGAGCAGGACCCGCAGCAGCAGGTGGTCGCCGACGCGCACATGGGCGACGTGATCTGCTTCTAGGAGCACCACCTTAACGGCTACCGAGTCGTCGAGCAGGAGCAGTGGTGCAGGCAGGTCGGCTGGAGCGCGGTGCTGACCCCAGGCGTGAGCTCCGTGGGGGCATCGCAGCAGCGCGCGGTGAGTGGCGGCACTGGAGTCGCAGTTCGCTCGACCCGCGGCATGCGCGGCCCAGGCGATCAGGGCTGCAAGGCCAGCTGCCACGTCTCTGACGGCAGGGCCACGGTAGTCCATGTCAATGGAGCAGTACCTGGCGGTTTTCTGCTGGGCTCCGTATACCTTGACAACGACGACAACTGCAAGACCAGCCAGTCCGTTCTGCAGGAGGTCGGCCCCCTCCTCAAGCGAACAGGGAAGCCGTGGGTCATCGCAGGCGACTGGAACGTGGAGCCCGGGCGATTCCTTCAACGCGCGGGGCATTGGCTCTGCAAAATCGGCGGTCACGTTGTCGACACGGGCGTGGGCAGCCCTCGGAGCTCGACTGGTTCACTGTCAGCTCTGAAGTGTTCGATCGAGTCCTCGCCTGCAAGCGCCTGGACATGACCGCCAAGGGGCGCGCCGACCCTTGCCGCCCACATATGGCAGCGCAACTCAGCCTCACCTGATACGGCGACATGGGCCAGTCGCTCAGGGTCAAGGGGCCGATGGCTTTCCCCA